GGTGCTGGACTCTCGCAATGATGGTAACGACAAAACTGTGAGAGACAGCGAGAGTGGATTTGGATAGGAAGGGAGACCGATTTCATGTAACCACTTTGGCACCATTTTTGTCCACCCTCGCACGCACCCAACCATACACACACACACGCATATGGCCACCAAAAGTCGTAACTTTCGCAAAGTATTTTCGCGTGGGGTTTTTTGAGGCGGATAAAATGTTGCGAAAAAAGGACGCTTGTGCTTGCCTTGAAACTGATCTGAAAGCAGCAGGTACAATCCCACCTCAACTGCGTTAGTGTGACTCATTGTTTGGTAAGCATAGTTCGGGTAGTACTCAAGCCCAACTTTGATAATTCCTAGCGGTTTTGTGAATGAGCACAGTCTTTTTGCCATAAGTAAGAAATTACATGCTAACCAGTCCCCACATTGGGCGATTTCAATGGCTCAAATAAGAAAGAGTTATAAATACTACTCAGAATAAAAGGGACATAGAAAATGAAAGTATTTTTAGCTAGTTTGGAACTACGTGAGTCATGCCAGTAAGTCATTCAACTTTCAAACGCAACTAGGCCCTAAAAATATTTCCATACCGTCAGCACGGTGTCTGATTGGCTCATCTCTGATCCTTTGTTTAGTTAGGGTTAACGGTAAGTCCTTAAAGCCTCAACACCTTTCGACTTTGCGATGACATCAAAATTTGTCTGATCATCTGGTTCAAGCAATCTACATGGGAAAACAATCAGTAGGCCTAAAAGCACAGCATACTGACTTGCTTTTATTCACGAATGGTCAGTGGAAGCGCTATTCGCTCCAGATGGTTTGTACCCTTACCGGCGATTTCCAGGCAATGTTATTTTTTATGGCCCGCGGATCAAACAGGGTGGAGGGGATAAAAAAGTATATCACATGTGCATTCTACTTCGTTATTTTGTTCTCTCGAATCTGGAACAGAGTAGATGAGAAAAAATATTTTTACTTGGTGGAGGTTCAGATCAGCCAATCAATCATTTGAGCATATGTGAGAACGAACCAGTTAAAATTCGGTTTAATAACTTCTCCACTTTGGTTGGATAGAGTTCAAGCCTACGAGGCCCAATCAACTGCAGACGGTGAACTAATCATTTTATGGTATTATTTGCCCAGATTTAATTCTGTAAAATCTTTTTAACTAACCTACTAAATCTAGAAGATGATTTGTCCTAATTAATTTCTCCCACTTGTAGCAGCTGAGTCCCCTCTGAAGGTGTTTAGCGTGGGAAAGGTTCTTATTAGAAGGCGAGGAAAGCAACAGAGCTCTACCAAGTTAATGAAGGAAATCATGAACATACTGTAAAGTCTAAGAGGAACGCGCTTCACTATTTTCTCGTCTTAAAGCGCCCTCACTAATCTTGCATTTCAGTGGAGCCGACTACGGTCCCACAGCAAGAAGGAAGACCATTAACTAGTACTTAAAGTCAAGTATTTCCATGTAAAGGACTAGATTCAGCGATGTAGCATGTAAAAAGAAGAACCAGAGACAATAAGTGATTTAGAGCATAAACTTCGAGTAGACCACTAAGCACGACAGTAGAGTATCCCTGCTTTGCGTAGCCCCCTTCATTACTACTCTAGTTTTTATCGGTGAAAGAGGAAACTTCCTACTTCTTCCTTGATCTCCAAAGAGGCCTTCAATCCACCATCACTGCTTTCTGAACTTCTCTCTGACATTGTCTCCTCTTCATAATGCAAGTCCTCGGCCATGACTGCTGAATGGAGATAGGCATATAGATAATTTGCTACTTAAACTTTGTCAGTAAAAATAATAAAAATCGAAAACCCTGGTCATTTAAATAAATGATCAGTCCAGTAGCAGGTTTAGCATTCACACTCGGATCAACATGAGATGCAGCAATGCCGTTGGAATGCTAGCTCCCGCCAGGCACCAATGACAAAAGCTTTGGCACGCTCAATCATACTATTTTCCCTTTTTATACCACCAACGCTTGAAGTTAGGTAAAACTGTCTTCCAGGTATTAATCACCTAAACTAAGAAAGATCAGTGAATAAATTAAGGAAGTGACGACTATTTTACAGAATAAGTGAAGTAAATATTTATTGCTTAGGATTCATTCCTGAAGCCACGTGGTCTTGGCTATTGGGCTGGCCTGCGGACCAAGCCAATAGCTCTAATAACTTCTGTAGGCCGAATATATATATTCTGCTTAAGTATTATGTTTTTTCGTCTTTAGAGAAGTCTTGGTTATAAATGAGTTTAGGAAATTTGTACTGCTAAAGTTAAGTTCACACCTACTTATGTAGCAGTGAATAAGGGCATTTATTTTATATAAATTTTATTTGGCAAACATTTCTTATGCTACAGATTGATCTTTACATAAACGAAGTTACACATAAAAAAGCTCAACGATTTAAATGAGTGCACATTCCATTTCATTGATCTATTTTCCCATTTATTAATAGTTGTATGCTAGTTAATGAGTTAATTGTATTTCATTTTAATAAACAAAATCACATATGTACCTATATATATATATACATATGTGTGGGTGAATAGGTGCATGTTTTAGTGTCAAATTTGGCAGATACATAAACCCAATTATTTGTAAACATGTGTAAGCAATTTGTATTAATTATATTTCGCATATCTTTACATCCGAGGGGTAAATGAGTTCATGCATCACGTACCTACAAAATTTTTCTGATATACGCGTGCATATACGTAATTTTTATCTGTCAAATTAGGTATTTATATATCTACATATATTAACATATGTGCAAAATCACGTAGTGGTAAAATTTTGCACAAAAACATGGGTGTGATTTAGTGCATGCGTTTAATGAGTGAAATTTATCCTATTTATACATCTTTGTTGGTGTAAATTTGTGCAGAAAATTTGCAAAAATACAATTAACCAATTAGGGGGAGCTACATGTATTGTGTTTTATAGTTGTATAGCTTCCGTATGCCAACATAGGTGTTGATAAGTGCCGATATAATGTAAACAAATACCTCAATTGTACATAACTACCTGTAATTTTTACTAGCTAATTTTAGCTTATGTATACCTGCGTATGCGCGAACTTGTGCATGTAATTCAATTCGTGAAATTTAACATATATATATATAATTACAAAGGTTAAATTAGTGTTTGTATGTAAAAGTGTGCTCTCAGTATTAATAGTGAAAAATTTGACATCCAAATAAACCGTTATATGCGCAGCGAAGTACGCTCTTTTACGGGTAAAATATGGCATACGCACACCTCAGGTTTGATTAATTGTATGTTTTATCCTCTAGCAAAATTTTGCATTCACTTATAGTCTTGAGGTGTAAATGCTTATAGATGTTTTTTACAGGGGAATTTAACTTTTGTACGCACCATTTCAGCGTAAATATGTACATGTAACAA